CACTGAGGGGGGAGGGAAATCGGACGCACGGGCGGGGTAGGAAAAGGATAGTAGAGAGTCCTTAAGAGTTCCCAGGTGATAAAAGTGATGTTTTGAGACGTCTCAAAACACGGTAGGAAGGATAGTAGAGAGTCCTTAAGATTTCCCAGGTGGCTCGCCGCCAGTCCCTGAAGCGCCTAACCAGCTGCCACCCTCGCACCACCCGTGCCAGCACTGCCAGGGGAGGGCAATTGGTTGCACGGAAGGAGGGCGGGCATGGGAGGGAATGGGCGGCACAGAAAAGGATTCTTGAGAGATTTTGAAAGTGCCTTTGGAGACGTCTCAAAAGTCTTGAGAGATTTTGAAAGTGCACAGGCTGCACACATTGATTGCTCGCCTCGCCTCCACTCCCTGAAGCGACCAGCCGGAGGGATTGGGGGGACGGAAAGGAAGAGGTGGAAACGAAGGGAGGAGGGGGGCATGGAGGGGAGGGGGGCACGGAAGGGAGGGGGGCACGGAAGGGAGGGGGGCACGGAAGGGAGGGGGGCATGGAAGGGAGGGGGGCGGGCACGGAAGGGAGGGGGGCATGGAAGGGAGGGGGGCATGGAAGGGAGGGGGGCATGGAAGGGAGGGGTGCACAGAAGGGAGGGGGGCGGGCACGGAAGGGAGGGGGAGGGCACGAGAGGGAGGGGGAGGACACGAGAGGGAGGGGGAGGGCACGAGAGGGAGGGGGAGGACTCGAGAGAAGGGGGAAGGGCACGAGAGGGAGGGGGAGGGCACAGGTGGGAGGAGGGCGGCTAGGGAGGGCGGCTCGGGATGGAGGCAGGGCATACGGGCAAGCAGGTGGTTGTGAGTCAAGGGAGCCACTCTCAAGACAAGACACCATCCTTTCCAGTCCCTCCCAACCAGCCCCCCATTCCCTGGCGACACTATTGCCACCCAACGCCATCAACCGCCAGCCACTGCCACCCAATGCTGCTCACCTCATTCCACAAACTGCCAAAGAGCCCCTGTTCTGTAGGGAGACTTTTGAGTCGACTCAAAGGTCACCTTCTCTCCATGCGTCTGCACCTTCCCATCACGCCTTCCCCTTCTTTCTCAAGCCTCCCCTTTCCTGTCCTCCTGGCTCTCAACTCGCTTCCCACTCGCCTCCCCTCCCTCACCTCCTTCCGCTTTGCCTCCCCCTCAGCCTCTCATGTACATCAGCCTCTCATGTACATCAGCCTCTCATGTACATCAGCCTCTCATGTACATCAGCCTCTCATGTACATCAGCCTCTCATGTACATCAGCCTCTCATGTACATCAGCCTCTCATGTACATCAGCCTCTCATGTACATCAGCCTCTCATGTACATCAGCCTCTCATGTACATCAGCCTCTCATGTACATCAGCCTCTCATGTACATCAGCCTCTCATGTACATCAGCCTCTCATGTACATCAGCCTCTCATGTACATCAGCCTCTCATGTACATCAGCCTCTCATGTACATCAGCCTCTCATGTACATCAGCCTCTCATGTACATCAGCCTCTCATGTACATCAGCCTCTCATGTACATCAGCCTCTCATGTACATCAGCCTCTCATGTACATCAGCCTCTCATGTACATCAGCCTCTCATGTACATCAGCCTCTCATGTACATCAGCCTCTCATGTACATCAGCCTCTCATGTACATCAGCCTCTCATGTACATCAGCCTCTCATGTACATCAGCCTCTCATGTACATCAGCCTCTCATGTACATCAGCCTCTCATGTACATCAGCCTCTCATGTACATCAGCCTCTCATGTACATCAGCCTCTCATGTACATCAGCCTCTCATGTACATCAGCCTCTCATGTACATCAGCCTCTCATGTACATCAGCCTCTCATGTACATCAGCCTCTCATGTACATCAGCCTCTCATGTACATCAGCCTCTCATGTACATCAGCCTCTCATGTACATCAGCCTCTCATGTACATCAGCCTCTCATGTACATCAGCCTCCTCTCCCCCGGTCCCCTTTCCTCCTACTCTCCGCCCACCCTGCTTCGCCCTGCTCCCCCTTCCCCTTTTTCCCCCCCCCCCCTTCCCCTTCCCCTTCCCCTTCCCCTTCCCCTTCCCCTTCCCCTTCCCCTGCCCTGCCCCCCACTCTCCCTCACCCTCTTCCCCTAACCCCCTATTCCCCTCTGCACTTCCCTCACGCCTGCCCTCACCCTCACCTTCCCCCCTCTCCTCCACACAACCCACCCGCATTCCCCACCGTTCACCTGGAACAGCTCTGATCGGCGCGCCACAACTGCCAGCACGGGAACAGAAGCAACCTTTTCCCCCGTCCCGCCTGCTCACTCACACACCCTTTATCCCCTCCTTTCCCCTCTCTGAACCCCTCCCAACTCCACCCCCCACCAGGCGAGCCTGAATGGCTCTGATTGGCGCGCTACCTATGCCAGCATGGGAATGGGCAGCAGCGGTTGCCCCCATTCAACATGGGAACAGCATCAGCCGTCCCCCCCATTCACCCCCCAGCTCACACACCCCCCTCTTCCCCTCCCTTCGCCCCTCCACTCTCTCCCTCACTCAACGCTCGCTTTGTGGAACCGGCACAGGAACAGCAGCAGTTGGAGTCCCCATCCAACCTCCTCACACCCCTCCTCCCCTCCCGTCCCCTCCCCTGCGTGGGCCAGCGCCAGCCTGTGCGACTTCTGACGCGCCATCACACGCCAGCAACGTCTCCCCTCCGTCCGCGGACCTTGCGCGCCATTCCCAGGCGACAGCTGCCATTCCCAGGCGACAGCTGCCATTCCCAGGCGACAGCTGCCATTCCCAGGCGACAGCTGCCAGCCCAGGCGGCACTGCCGCGGAATTCCCCCTAATACCGCCCGCTACCATTCCCCCCTCCCCCCCTCCTTATTCCCCCGCACCTTGCGTGCCTTTCACAGGCGACGGCTCCTGGCACCGACAGGGAGGGCATTGAAGCAGCAGAGGAATTTCCCCGTCCTACACCCGCTCCCCAGCTCCCCCCCTCCCTCCACCCCCCCTCCTTATTCCCCCGCACCTTGCGTGTCGTTCACAGGCTGCTGCTCCTGGCACCGACAGGGAGGGCATTGAAGCAGCAGCAGCAGGAGAGGCAGCAGCAGCAGCAGCGGTGGCTGCAGCGCCGCGAAGGGGCCTACGGGGACGACGACGCGGACGCGGCGAGTCCGCTGCGCCGCGTCGCGTTCCATTCCTTCCGCGTGGGCTCGGGATAAGATGTGGTTCGGAGACTGTCGAAAAGTGGGTTGTCGCAAACGCGGGCTGTCGCAATCGCAGGCTGTCGCAATCGCGGGCTGTCGGAAAAGTGTTTCTCACGACCGTTGAGGCAATAAAGGAGGTTCTTTTATCGATTAAGAGGTTCCGTTATCGAAGGAGCCGCCGCTTCGACCGTCGATGGAAAGGGAGATTGACATGCGGCCGTGGAGCAGTATCCGTTGGATAGGTTCATCTTAATTCACCCTGATTGTGACGAATGTACGCGATATAGGGTGGATGCGGATCGCGGAAAGGCAATGACACGCTAAACAAGACTACACGAATGAGCCTGACCCTAGGGCCACGTCAGCAATTCAAGCTGCACCGCTGCGCGCCATTTTGCTGAGATCTTGTTCGCAGTTTTGACACCAACTGCTTATGCGTGTCAACCCGAATCGGCCCACTTCTTGGTGTCAATCACTGTAGCAGCGGGGTCAACTCGAGTCGCGCCGATGGAAATGTGCGACGAAGCCTCATTGGTGGGACACAAAATATCTGTTATTGTGCGTTCATATGAACGAGCTTAAAACCCGCGGGCCAAGAACTTCAACCTTAGGAAGGTTGGTTGGGACTGAAAACGTGATTGGCCCGCGAAATTTGGTAGTGTCGAGATTGTTAGAGGATGTTCGTGTACTTGCCCAGGTTCGCCAATGTTACCAGGATTGACCTGCGACATGTACTTCACGCACACATCAGTCGCAGAGAGCCTAAAGCGACACCCAACAACAACCTGTCTCACACAAAAACTCAGTTTCCAACACCACGTCACTGCATTGTAGTATAGGAAACTGCTCCCCCTACAAGTAGTTAGGAAATTGAGGTTAGCGCATACGCAAAGCCACCTGGTCAAAGCAGACGGCGGGCGATAGTGATAGCGTACACAAAGCGGCGCGACGGCATCATTAGCTATCGCTGGGAATTAGAAGTGACACACAGCACGCTTCGAAAACGCCAGTAAGTGCGATTCCTTCCTCTGATCCCGCGTGCTGCGTTTGCTCGAGCCACGAGGACGTTACGCCACAAATTAACATTTCCCGCCGTGCAGTAAAAAGGTGGAGTCCAAGCGCCAGTGCGGCCCTACCCTCTCGCCGCGATTCACAAGAATCGGCAGCAGCATGTACTTTAGGCTCACGTTGATTCTCAGAGCTTCCCTCACGCCAATGTACCATGATCCCATCACACCACCGGTGTCAGCTGTCCGTCGTACACCTCCTCTTCCCTTCCCTTCCCGTCACTCAGCCTTGATTCATCGCCCTTCCCTTCCCTTCCCAATCCGATCCCTTCCCTCCCCTTGCTAAAACTTCCCTTAGGGTACTTTCCTAGCCGCGCCAGTCCCTCCCCTGCAAGTACCGTCACTTCCCCCTCCCGTCGCCTTCATTTCCCCCTCTCGTCGCCTTCACTCCCTACTTCCGTCGCCTTCACTCCCTACTCCCGTCGCCTTCACTCCCCCCTCCCGTCGCCTTCACTTTTCCCCCCCGTCGCTCTTCCCTTTTCCCTCCCGTCGCTCTTCACTACCCACTCCCGTCGCTCTTCACTACCCTCTCCCATCGCCCTCGCTCCCCTCTCCCATCACCCTGCTCATTCTCCCGTCGCCCTCTCTTCCCTGTCTCACCCTGTTTCCCCAGCTCCTTCTCTTCCCCCTGTCTCACTTTGTCTGTCTCCCCTGCTCATTCTCTTCCCCCTCTCCCCCCCAATCCCCCACCCACTCTTCCTCAAGTTGTTGGTGTACTTGCGCCAACGCGTCCTCCACCAATGCTCCCCTTTTCCCCACTCCCACCATCCCCTTTCCACCCCCGCCTCCCCCCCTTCTCCTGCAGTCGCTGGTGCACTTGCGCCATCGGTGAGTGTGGGGCAGCAGCATCACCAGCGCCTCTGCCTCGCTGCCCTCGCCTTTCCCTGCCTGCTCTCCGCCAACCTTGCCTGGACTGCCCTCTCCCACCACCCGTCCACCCCTCCCTCACCGCCCTGCACCTCTCCCCCTGCCCCCTCCTTACCATTGGCTTCCCTCTCCCCTCCTCCTCATCCTCTCCCTCTGCCTCATCTCCTCCTCCTCTCACTCCTCCTCCTCTTCCTCCTCCCCCCTCGCTCGTATCATTCTCTCTGGTGCCTCAATCGCTCCTCCCTCCTCCCTCTTCCCTCCTCACCTCCTCACGTCCTCACTCACCACGACCACTGCCACTCGCGCGGCGCCACGCTTCCTCCTCCTCCGCACCGCACCAGCCTCCACCGTGCTCCACTCCTCCTCCACGCCCTCACACCCCGCCCTGCGGCTAGCTGTGGTTGCAAGCAGCAGTAATCCCTCACACACCTCCACCTCTCCTCTGCTGCTGTCTCTGACGCCCTTGTGTTACACCTCGCCCACCCCCGTCCCCACACGGTATCCCATTACCCTCTCTCCCGCTCCCATTTCCTTCCCCGACACCCATCCGTGAGGGGTTGAAATGTTCCACCCGTCCCCCAACCCCACCCGTCCATTCCCCCACTCCTCTCCGTCCAATACCCCACTCTCCCTCGCCCTTTTCCCACACAGTAATCCTCCCTTTCACCAACGCCAACCCTCCGCTTCCCCCACACACCTCCCTTTCCCGCACTACTGCCCTGTCTTTCCCCAACAAACACCCCCCCTTTCCCCCAATCCTACCCCCCCTTTCCCCCGCTCCTACCCTCTCTTTCCCCCACTCCACCTCGTCCCTCCCCGCACTCCCCCCGGCCTCTCCCCCACTTCCCCCCGTCCAATCCCCAACTTCCCCTCTGAAACTTTCCCCACTCCTCCAGGGCCACACCACCCTTTCGACCATGCATGCCCTCCGCTCCCAACACGCCTCTTCGTGCGAACCATGTCATCCTCTCTCCCCCTCATCCTTTCCCCCACTCCCCCCGGGCCTTTCCCCCACACCCCACCCGTCCCCTCCCCCAGTCCCCCCCGTCCTTTCCCCCACTCTCCCTCGCCCTTTTCCTTACAATAATCCTCCCTTTCCCCGACGCCAACCCTCCCTTTCCCCCACGCTAATGCTCCTTTTCCCCCATGCCAACTCTCCCTTTCCCCCACGCCAATCTTCTCTTTCCCCTACGCTAATCCTCCCTTTCCCTCAATACCACCCGCCCTTTCTCCCAATCCCACCCTCCTTTCCCCCACTACCACCCTCCCTTTCCCCCACGCTGACCCTCCCTCCCCCTCTCGCTTTTCCACACGCCAATCCTCCCTTTCACCATGTCGTTGCTCTTCACTTCCCCCTTCGTTCAACCCTTTTCCACCCCCAAGTCCTCTCATTTCCCCTGTTCGCACCCCTCCTTAGCCCTTGCTTACTTGCTTTCTCCTTTGCTCACCCCCTTCTCCACCCTGCTCACTCTCTTTCCCCTATTGCTCACCCCCTTCTCCACCCTGCTCACTCTCTTTCCCCTATTGCTCACCCCCTTCTCCACCCTGCTCACTCTCTTTCCCCTATTGCTCACCCCCTTCTCCACCCTGCTCACTCCCTTTCCCACTTTGCTCACCCCTCTGCCTTGTCCACTCCTCCCATACATGCCCTTCTGTACCTCCACCTCCACCCCTCGCTTGTTCTGCCATATCCCCTCTTCGCTCCCTGTTCCATCACAGAACCATGCTTGTACAGGTGCCCACCACCATGGGTCGTGGCGTGGCCTGACAGGACCGGGTTGAAATGTTCCGCCTCCTAGCTTTGTGCATGTGCCTATATTCCACTCTTGGAAACCTTTTTGGGAAATATAGCTTGCTTTGTTGCACTTCCTTGTAATGGTCATGTGCATTTCTGCTCCAGAACACCAAGTTGTGTATTATGAGAAGCATCCAACATCAATATATGACAGCTATTTGTCATACGGTACCACTATCATCAAACAACAAACACATCACAACTGGATGCATGGCAGACCTGCACACACACGAACCACAACTCGCATGTGTCAAAGTTGAAGCAGCGGGGAAGGATACAAAACAATGACAATGGAAGGGCAACGGCGGTAGGGAATAATGCACGGAGAGCAAGGGGGACACAGAGGAAGGGCGGAAGGGGGGGGAGAGAGCGGGGAAAGGCACTGAGCCAGAGAATTGGGAGAGGGAATAGATGAAGAAAGGAAGGGGGTGGGAGAGGACGACGTTGGGTAGATGGGTGGAAGGGAGGGAGGAAGGAAGAAAGGGAGGATGGGAGGATGAGAGGAAGGGAGTAGGAGGGTGGGAGATGGAAAGTGGAAGGGGGACAGGATCGAGAGAGGATGAGGAGATGGGAAAATGGCAGGAAGGGGACGGGAGGAAGGGAGGGAGGACGACGCATCTACCCTGTCGATGCATCTACCCATACCCAAGCTACCCCCCTGTCGATGCATCTCCCCATACCCAAGCAACCCCTGTCGATGCATCTCCCCATCCCCAAGCAACCCCCCTGTCGATGCATCTCCCCATACCCAAGCTACCCCCCTGTCGATGCATCTCCCCATACCCAAGCTACCCCCCTGTCGATGCATCTCCCCATGAGAGAGGCGGAGGGTGAGAGAAGCGGAGGGTGAGAGAGGCGGAGGGTGAGAGAAGCGGAGGTGAGAGAGGCGGAGCGTGAGAGAGGCGGAGCGTGAGCGAGGCGGAGCGTGAGAGAGGCGGAGGTGAGAGAGGCAGAGGATGAGAGAGGTGGAGGGTGAGAGAGGCGGAGGTGAGAGAGGCGGAGGTGAGAGAGGCGGCGGGTGAGAGAGGCGGAGGGTGAGAGAGGCGGAGGGTGAGAGAGGCGGAGCGTGAGAGAGGCGGAGGTGAGAGAGGCGGAGGTGAGAGAGGCGGAGGTGAGAGAGGCGGAGGGTGAGAGAGGCGGAGCGTGAGAGAGGCGGAGGTGAGAGAGGCGGAGGATGAGAGAGGTGGAGGGTGAGAGAGGCGGAGCGTGAGAGAGGCGGAGGTGAGAGAGGCGGAGGTGAGAGAGGCGGAGGTGAGAGAGGCGGAGCGTGAGAGAGGCGGAGCGTGAGAGAGGCGGAGGATGAGAGAGGCGGAGGTGAGAGAGGCGGAGGGTGAGAGAGGCGGAGCGTGAGAGAGGCGGAGGTGAGAGAGGCGGAGGATGAGAGAGGCGGAGGGTGAGAGAGGCGGAGGTGAGAGAGGCGGAGCGTGAGAGAGGCGGAGCGTGAGAGAGGCGGAGGTGAGCGAGGCGGAGGTGAGAGAGGCGGAGCGTGAGAGAGGCGGAGGTGAAAGAGGCGGAGGGTGAGAGAGGCGGAGAGTGAGAGAGGCGGAGGATGAGAGAGGCGGAGGGTGAGGGAGGCGGAGGGTGAGAGAGGCGGAGGTGAGAGAGGCGGAGGATGAGAGAGGCGGAGGGTGAGGGAGGCGGAGGGTGAGAGAGGCGGAGGTGAGAGAGGCGGAGGATGAGAGAGGCGGAGCGTGAGAGAGGCGGAGGGTGAGAGAGGCGGAGGGTGAGAGAGGCGGAGCGTGAGAGAGGCGGAGGGTGAGGGAGGCGGAGGGTGAGAGAGGCGGAGTGAGAGAGGCGGAGGATGAGAGAGGCGGAGCGTGAGAGAGGCGGAGGGTGAGAGAGGCGGAGCGTGAGATTGGCGGAGGGTGAGAGAGGCGGAGGGTGAGAGAGGCGGAGGTGAGAGAGGCGGAGCGTGAGAGAGGCTGAGCGTGAGCGAGGCGGAGCGTGAGCGAGGCGGAGCGTGAGAGAGGCGGAGGTGAGAGAGGCGGAGGATGAGAGAGGCGGAGGATGAGAGAGGCGGAGGGTGAGAGAAGCGGAGCGTGAGAGAGGCGGAGGTGAGAGAGGCGGAGGATGAGAGAGGCGGAGGGTGAGAGAGGCGGAGGTGAGAGAGGCGGAGCGTGAGAGAGGCGGAGGTGAGAGAGGCGGAGGATGAGAGAGGCGGAGGGTGAGAGAGGCGGAGGGTGAGAGAGGCGGAGGTGAGAGAGGCGGAGGTGAGAGAGGCGGAGGTGAGAGAGGCGGAGCGTGAGAGAGGCGGAGCGTGAGAGAGGCGGAGGTGAGCGAGGCGGAGGTGAGCCAGGTGCTTTCGCCTGCCCACGCGATCCCCCCTGCCCATGCACCTCCGCCTGTTTGTAGGTCGCATTGCCTTTGCAGGGCAAATCGTGACCTAATGTCGCCGTCGCGTTGCCCTGCCGGCCGAAACGTGACCTAATGTCGCCGTCGCGTTGCCCTGCAGGGCAAATCGTGACCTAATGTCGCCGTCGCGTTGCCCTGCAATGCAAATCGTTACCTAAATGCGACGTCGCATAGCTCTGCAGGTCGAAACGTGGCCATCGGTCTGCTAACGTCACAACGCACAACTACATTTCCGGTAACGTCGGTTTCCGCGATTTTAGCTCTCCCATACCTTATGTAATTCGTGATTAGCGCGCGCCCGCTTGTCGGTATGTTGGCTAGTTGGCGGGCCACGCGGGTCTAATAGTGGGTCCTAGAACTCGCGAATAATCAGTAGCGTTTTTGGGACAAGTTTCTCTTGCCTGTGTGCCTTATGTTTACGGAGGTTGGTGTTGGGCGATGTGCCGTGCGATGAAACCCAACTGGGCATTTGTCGCTGCTACAGTGTTCTAGTTTGGCGAATGTTCAGGACCAGGTTTGTGTTTCAAAAGTTTGCCTCCGCTGGAAACCGGGTAACACCCAACCAGCCTTAGGAAGCTTGAACCAATTTCGTGCTTCTTGACCCTCCGGTTTTAACTGTCAGTGCAACCCCACAGTACAACCCAACACCAACGTGTTGGGTGGGGATTTGTGGACCATCGCAGAGGCAGGTTTTGCAGATTTTTTATTGAGTAAGAGCAAATCGTGAGAGGTATCAATGCGATGGATTTGGTTGGATGGTGTGCGTTGCGACTCTAGGCGAGCGGGCTATCCGATTAATTTGACAAGCTGACATTGAGCGATTTTTTGACACCAACCAACAATGTGTATGCTCGTGTCAAAATCCCAAAATGACACTGGTGTCAAAACTACGAACAAGCTGTTGGAGTGTGAAGGGAATACACTTAAGCATTCCCGAAGGTGCAGCTACATCGCACCAGTCACTATCGAAGCAGCGCGAGCAGTAAAAGTCGGATCAGCCTATACCAAAGGCAGGAAGGTCAACAGGCGCAAAAGTCAACTGTCGCGACTGTTGACCATCTGGACCGACGATTGACTCACCATCGAGGAATGTCAACAGGCGTAACCGCACGCACGGTTACAAGCAGCGACTCGGTAACAAGAAAGGAAATGCAATAGTCAGAGTCACTGTTGTACTGCCTGTAAAACAGTTATAATAAGGGAATGTACCCCTTAGAGTACATGGCTAGTTAGGACTATTTATTTGCTTGTATTCTATCCTTTCAAACAACTTTGTCATTTACATTCACTATGATCAAGGTTCCTACCAAGACTTCCGCTACCAACTCTCCAAGAGGCACTTTCTATCCTATCCAAGATCCTCACTCTAACATGGTATGAGAGCTAGTTTGGATTATAGGAACTGCCAAAAAGGGTCTCCTAACAAGGACAACCTTTTACATAATTTATTATAAGGGCAAGCATCATGCCAGGCGCCGACTGCGGAGAAACTGGAGAAACCCCAGTACAACCTTCCACTAATGTTACTTCTACTACAACGACTGCAGACACAGCGCTCCTCGAGCAGCTGATTTCCCGCATCAGCGCACTGGAGAGCCATCAGCCAATGAGCATCGACGGCTCCAGCTACGCCCGAAGACCTCCCGATCCTCAAGGAGCTGGATCAGAAAGATCCTTCACCTTCGACAATCGCGGAGCCCCAGGACCTGCTCAAACACAGCAAGCACATTTCGAGACAATGGCGTCAATGCAGAACAAGTTTCTGACAACATCAAAGCTCAGGACAACAAAGCCCTTCGACGGGCAAGACTTTTACACCTGGAGCTTCGAATTCGAGCTGTTAGCTCAAGGCGCTCAAATATGGATGTACTACGACGGTTCGTATCCCTTCCCGACTAACGGCTCACCTCAGGAGAAGACGCAGTACTACAACGAATCTCTCCTGGCCTTCACCGTACTGATTCGAAATCTGTCGCCAGAAGAACAGCTAAGCATTCGCCCTTTCAAGAACGAGTGGGCACCCGCGCAACAATCATGGGAGCACCTGCGCACCTGCCACATGGCAACAGATTCGGTGACACTTAGTCGCCTGCTTAACCAGCTGAACAACGTCAGAATGTTCCCCGGCGAAAAGGCCGGATCCTACATCAACCGCTGCAGAAATCTGAGAGACCAATTCAAGAAAAGCGGCGGAAACTTCCCTGACGACATGTTCGTGACAATCATTCTCGCTGGATTAAGCTCGGAATGGCGCCAATGTAAATCGCTCCTTCGCACTCAAGGAACTGTCAGCGAAACCGCCCTCTGCTCGACGCTCCTCTCCGAACAAAAGGAAATGGACCTGTACAACGAGAGAGGCAACAAGAAGGAGAAAATCGCTTTCTATGCACAAGCGCCACCAGACAAGAAGAGACTCTTCTGCAAGTACTGCAAGAAGACTGGACACACAATCCAAGACTGCTGGAAGTTGAACGGCAACAACAACAACCAGAAGGGAGCTGCCGCTTACCAGCAAGGAAGAACTCCAGCGCGCAATCAGACCGTGTCACCACCAGCCGTCGCAAGCACATCCCAAGCTCCGACGCGCATCCCTGCGAACACAACCGACAAAGGCAAAAGCAAGGTGTTGACTTGCATGGTGCGTCGAGGTCCGCCTCGTCCCAACCGACACTACCGCTTCTTCCGCAGCTGGGAAGACATGTTCGTAGATCCACCGCAAGAGCGTCCTGAAGGGTCGGTCGAAGACGAAGAAGAAAACGACCCAACATATGACGAGCTGTCGGTCGGACGCATGGATTACGACTGGGAAATGCCGCCTTGGATCCAGGAGTCGCCACCTGCACGCGAGGCATACGAAGACGAGGACTACACCTATAATTACGATCACGATCACGACATGGAGCATCGCATCACGCCAAGACTCGCCAACCTCGCCAAAGCAAGAAAGGAGGTTAACACCTGGTACCTGGATAGCTGCTGCGGCCAGCACATGGTGTCGTCAGACACCTTCATCCTCAACAGGGAACGACTCTGTAACGAGGTGGAAATTACTGTTGCTAACAGTCAAACCATCCGCGCCAGCAGTCGCGGACAAATTCAGCTGCAGTCACGCGACACCGGTTACTGCATTCACGTCAGCGACGTCCTCGTCGTGCCCGAGCTCCGGTACAATCTTCTGTCCCTCCACCAACTGATGACGTGCGGAGTCGGCCTGGAGACAACAGAAGACGAAATGCATTTAATATACAAGGGGACCTTCATCGGAAGGGCGACAAGTGTGGAAGGAGTCTTCGTGCTTGACTTCGAGTCGCCAAGAACCTCTGGCGACAGCGAGAACATCCTCGTTCTCGATCCACCAGGCCACCCGTCACCACCCAGGTGGAGCCATCCGGAAGAGACGGACTACCAACGGCAAGGCCCCGACGGCACGTTCCGCGCTCTTGCCGTCCCCGTCGCCTCAACCACAAAACCTGAAAACACGGAAACGCCAGCGGCAGAAGAAGAAGGAGTCACGTCAGGCACGGCAATCGTAACGACTGAAGCAGCAGAGACAGAGACCGCACAGTCAACCTGGCCCTCTGTCTCACACCCTACCGGCTGGAACACAACTCAAGGCTGGGACACCGTCGACGTGCGTTGGGTCATGGAAAACACCGCTCTTGGAGAAGTCGTAGCCGAAACTGGATGGGGGAGTTTCGCCGAACAGCCTGCAGCAGAAGAAACCGAACCGGTGCAGTTACCAAAAATACCTGAGGAGGCGCCAGAAGCTAAAAAGGGGGAACTGCTGACGGAGTACGGACCTCACCTGCTTCCCATCACAACAGACGGTAGGGACTACCTTGTCAAACATTATATGTTTATATGATTGTAGGCTGTAGTGGGTTACACCTTAGGGGGTACACTAGATTAGGGTTTCCTACTTGTATCCAACTTTGTGCTAGTACAGTCATTCCTGTCCGTTCATTCTGACATGGTTTCAGAGCAGGTCCTTCGCTAGGACCGTTTTTTTTTTAAGGGCCCACCGTTCCCTACCTACCTACCTACCTACCTAGGGCGCCTCGAACTTTTTTACGGCCCCTACCTCCCGCGACCCGCGACCCGCCCCTTAAGGCCCCGTCACGCCGCCCCTTAGCCGCTCGCGCGCGGTCCTTTTTTTTTCCCGCGCGCGCCTTATTTCCCTCGCGCGCGGCCCGTCGCCTGCTCGCGCACGCCCCGCAGCTGCCCGTCGCCTGCTCGCGCACGTCCCGCAGGCCCGCAGCCCGCTGTCGCAGCGGCCGCCCGCCCGCAGCCGCCCGTCGCCTGCTCGCGCACGCCCCGCAGCCGCCCGTCGCCTGCTAGCGCACGCCCCGCTGCCCGCAGCCGCTCGTACGCCGCTGCTTCCGCTGCTGCTTGCGCACTGCTGCCTCCCGAGCGCCGCCGCTGCCTGTGCGCCGCCGCTGCCCGTGCGCCGTCGCTGCTCCTACGCTGCCGCTGCCCGTGCGCTGCCGCTGCCCGTGCACCGCCGTTCCCAGTGCGCCGCTGCCGCCCGTGCGCTTCTGCAGCCGCCGCCCGCGAGGCACTCGCTCTCACTGTTGTTTATCTTCTACCTACCGCGCACACTGCTGCCACTGCAGCTGCCACCAGTGCACCGTTGCAGCTCCTGCTGCCACGCTACCTACTACTGCCGCTCGTGTGCCACTACGGACAGTCGACCCCGCCCGCGCCTTGCCTAGCGGCCCCGCCGGCCCCGTTGACCCTCCGCACACCTTTTCAGCGGCCTGATTCCTACTACTACTGTTACTACTGCTACTGTCACTATGGCTAGCCCGCCAGTTCTAGCTTTCGATGCCGAGGGCCGTCCAGTGAAGTTCGAAACCTGGCTCGATGACCTGCACCTGTTCCTACAGCTCACTGCCAAGGAAGATATCTCACTGTACGACCACGCCCTAGGCCATGCCACTGCCCCTGACTCGACTGCTGACAGCACTCTGCGTTCCCAGTGGCAGACCCGTGATGCGCACGCTCGCTTTGCTATTCGCAACTCCCTGCCGCTAGACGAGCGCGAGCACTTCGGCCAGTGCAAGACTGCTAAGGACCTCTACACCGCTGTAGTTGCCCGCTACTCCTCGCCCGCTTCTGCCACGCTAGGCCGCCTCACTCTCCCCTACCTGTTCCCCGACCTAGCCTCCTTTC